AGCGATATCGTTCCGCCTCCGGCTAACTATCGCGCGACACTCAATGTTACCACCCTTGCAGAGCATAAAAAAAGAAAAAAGAACGCGGTAAGGAGGTATCTGAAGTGAGCGCGGAAACTGTCTTCAGGTGAACCTCAAATCCCTGCAAGCTGTCAAAACAAAACTCACTTCCTTCCATGAACTTCGGCAAATGAAAGAATGCGAGGTGTTTTTTGTTCAATCCTTGATCCCAACGGACATGACCAACACTCTGCGTTTGAGACTCTTTCGTCTTTCGATCAAACTCGGCCTCTTCGCGGACTAGCGGAGCAAAAATACGCCGATAGTGGAACGCATCTTCGTATCTAGAAGAATACGCAAGGTAAAACATTGAAATAATGATTGAACAGCTTCTGAATAGAATGGTGACATGAAAAAGAAACCAGCAATGAAAATGAAGAGAAAACCACACAAGCATACCTTAACAGCACACTCTCTGGTTCAGTATCAACACCCGGGCGATCTAGGTCTTCCACTGTTGCTTTAGGATGTTCTTTCCAAAGATCTTCAAGACGGCTGGCCTGAGCAGCACTGAAATGGTTGCTAATAATGAAGGCTAGCGTTTAATATGTATAGTCTTGTTCGCTGCTGATGATGAGGCTAGACTGCGCGCCGCAAGCACCTGTTGCTGAAACAGGTTAAGGACAGCAGTTGGTGGAAAACGATTGATATGAACTAAATGATACAGACTTGTGTCTCACCCACTTCAGCAATTAGTGGACAATGATTTGGCGGCGGGCTAAACGCAGTCAAGAGGGCACGCCCCATCACCTGCAGCGAACTAGACTGTATCAGCTAACTCCGAGTTCATTTTGAAAATCTACAACTATCTCTTCTATTCCTGTAGAAAGATTTACAAAGCAGATTCGAGTAGCCTTGTAGGGTTCCTCTGCGGAGCAAAAGTTCTTGTGTACTAGTAAACAAAAAATTTCAATAAGTAAAGAAAACACTTACGTGATATGTCGGGCTCTGAGCTGAGCTTGCTCTGATGGTATATTCACTATCCACGAAAGAAGCTGAAATCACATTTGCTTTCAATTTGCAATCAATCCAAAAATTATTTGCTTATATGATACCTGTCTTTCATTGATTAAAGGCTTCCATTCTTCTCCTTGCCAGTTAGGATCTTTCTGGGAGGCGATCTGGGCGCATGGATGTCGACAGAGAATTACCTAGAACGCGAAGCGTTCGCATAAAATAAAAATTAACTCTCTTCCGCTCCAGAAAGAATCACTCAGAGGTCAACCTACCACTAATGAATCAGCTTTTGCCGGAATGAATCCAAGCATGAACACATTGCGCGATGCACATTGATAACACTCCAATTGGGTCTCTCCAAGCGGTGATTCTCGGTGAAGACATACCTACAAGTACAATACAGTACGAACTGCAGAATGAAAATAACAGAAGCACGAAAATTCCATAGGAAAAGGAACATGGCTACGTCCCCCGTTGAACGAAAACAAACCCCTTGTACAAACTTATTTGAAATAGAGAGAGCAATCATGGAAATAAGCACTGATCATAGACCTGGGTGGGGTGAAATAGTTACGGTGGTAAACCTAATTGGGCGAACTTTCTAAAGTAAACCAAAAAAAAACTAAAAAAATTTTCGTCATTTTGGTCGAACACATCAAAGTATTACTTTCATAGCCAACATCAGCAAATGATTCAACCTTTCATAGAAATGAAACGTTTTGCTACCTCTTTGTGTTGCGACCGGACTAAATGAGTGATCAAATGCGATCCTGATGTACTTCCTTTGCCATTGCAGAACCACCTGTTACAGACTGTACACATCGCCACGCAGCTCGACTCGTAAATACCACAATATCTGAAAAGATACACTGTGAAATCAGCCAAGGTAATAGATTGAAGAGGATGTGCATTGATTCCGATGCACGTTTCTCGGGTCGCTTCGCGCTTCTTGGGACGATTTTGAAAATAACTTCAAAAGAGTGTTCTACTTGAACTGTCAGACCAAACACTTGTTTTTTTTGTGGACTGGAATTAGTAGGTGGCCAAAAGCCATCGGGATTCGAGCAAGCCAAAGGAAAAGAGCAAAAGGCAAAGTTTCCATCTTCGAAATCCAATGAAGAAAACAAAAGCGACCTACCTGCATGAATGTTCTGGGAGCTTCTCTACTTGTGGTTGCTCATCCTCCTCAACATCGTGAAACGTCAAATCCG